GTTTTACCCACTCTTTCAAGGTTTCCCCACATTTGATAGGTTTATTCAGGACCCTCCATGTGCGCAAGGATTTTTTTGGGAGTTGAATGATTCACGGTTCTGTCGGATTCCGAAAGATTGCCGGGGATCCTTCCAGATTCCGAAAGATTCCTGGCGATTCCTTGCTTGTATTTTTCAGGACCCCAAGGATTCCTAAGTACTAATGTGGACTTCTCCAGATCATGCAGGACCCCACCCCAGAATTCTCGAGGCCGCACATCTATCTTTAGATTCATGTGGGGCCCATCGAGATCTGAAGGGGTCTTGAATAATATGATGGGAGATCGGACCCATCGGGTTCCAGAGGATCCTTTTTAGAATCCTGAGCATGCCTGTGAGACTCTAGAGGATTCTGCATTTACCTGTTCTTTGTTTTATGTCTGCCAAGGGTTGGCTGGTTGATTGGTGTGGGGGGACGGGGCGGCACAGGTGTGCACAGGGCGACAGGTCCAGCCTACGCAGGGAGGGAAAGCCCGGGACAGGAACCAGGGGGGATAGGGTTGCAGTCCCGTCTTCTTCCTTGAACTCTCATTCCTGAGAAATGCTGGCTAGTGTCGCCCATTGCGCCTTTTATTTTTCAATTGAAGTGCCTCTCTCGGGGCTCGCACATAGTCTTTTACCAGGCAGCTAGCTTCTTGATGTTCTGGTTGTGTTTATGCCCCCGGGTCAATAACAACACATGTTTTGATATTGTTCGGTCTTAGCTGCTGGTGTGCTATTAAACACGTGGTGCCAAACATGTGTAAACAAAAAGTTCCCCCCCTCTCCTCCCCCCTGGATCCCGACTGTCATGCGCCGTCGAAGAAATATGTGTGAGTTACAAAATTTGTAAAATATCTACAGAGACCGAACGATGCAATTTTGATATACACGTCTGTCTGCTTGCATACGCAAATATGCGCGCACACGCACCAGTGAAGGTGTGCGCTCTCTGTCCACATCGGGGTCGCAGTGCAAGGCTGGCGCGGCGCTTTCTCGGCACAGTGAGCATGGGTGTGCATGGAGAGGTTCCTGAGCACGGTCTCGACCCACTCCAGGTCGCAGGGCCTATCAGGTGAAGCAATATCGCGTCCCAGAGAGGGGGCGCAGGGTTGGTGCCTGAGCGCAGTCTCCATTCACGTCAGGGTCGCAGGGCGTTGCAGGCGTGGGCCTGACGCCAGACAGAGGCTGCGCGGGAATCTGCCCCTGAACGCGGAGCGCCAGGGCAGTCGCGGGAACGTCCCCCGCGGTCCGGTTGGCCCCGTCTTCCTTCTGCTTCGCACATGCGCGCTACGGCGTTGGGAGCACCTCTTCGACATTGCTTTTGATCATGTTTCAATACTGTATTTTTTTTTGGCCCGCGGGCAGACCGATCAATACTGTACTTCCCAAGCCATCCGTTGCTGGCTCCGGGGGTGCCCCTTCTGTGCCTTCGCATGCCCTGCGTGCCCCTCTTGGGGGTATGGCTCCGTTGCTGGCCACGTGTAGTTGCCGCGAGCCCATAAACAGGGGAAAGGGGGGGAGGAAGGAGGGGACAACGGGATGGAGGAGGCAAGAGCTCGAGAAAAAATTACCAGAAGAAAGGGGATTTTGGCACGAGAGCGTAAGCGGCAGATTTGGACGGGCGGGTCGGGCGCGCGGGCCCGGATGGCCATGAAACGACGCTGAAACATCGGTCTTGGATGGATCTTGAGGGAGTCTCGAGCGACAGAACGAGTCCCGAGAAAACCCTGTGGAGAAGTCCAAAACGAGAGTGCGATGCACGATTGTTCGGGGCGGGGAGTTTCGATGAATCGCAATGACACACGGCGCGAGACCGCGATCTCTTGATAAGTTGTAAGGAATCCCGTTCGAGACCGCGAGTTGGAACATATAATGAGGAGGTTTCAGGTGGCAGCCCGTTGTAGCTGTAGTTCGGGGCTTTGGGGGTTAACCGGAGCCTCAACAGCTTCCCTTTGTACAGAACAAGGTGCGAAACGCAGGAAGAACACTTCTCATGAAATTCGGGACGATCGACATGGGTACGGAAAGAATGGGCGCAATGCCCAACCGCAATTCCGGTTCATTTTGAACAGGACTCGCTGTCCGCGCCGCTGCGGATATTGTCAACCAGGGACTGAATGAGAGCCGCCTGCCCAACAGCGGCCTTTGAACAACATCTGCTGTTGGGCATTGTGCCCATTCTCTTTGCACCCCTGCGGGCATCCAAAGAAACGCACTAAGATATCGGAGCGCTCGTCTGTCGCGCGCGCAGAGAACGCCACGAGGAGCCGATGTTCAGCGGCCGCGGCGGCTCCACCAAGCCAATTTTTGTCGTGGATTGCGAGGACTTTTCGGGCGATAGCGCAAGTGAATTATGAGGAGCACGTTCGGGTTGACCCAAAACGGGCTCCAGCGACAAGGAGGTGGTGCAATAGAAATGGTGCAATAGGTTGGCGGGGTTGCATTAGATTTGGGGTATGCAATACATTCCGGGGCGCAAGTGCTTTGCTGGCTGGGTTTTCGCGTGCAATACAGCAGATGCAATACAGTGCAATGCAAGTCTCTGGCGCAATACATGTGCAATTCAATTGCCCCAAATCTAGTGCACCACCCCTTTTCAGCTGGACCACCTTTCGGGTCGCAACGACACATGGGCAAGAACACCATTCCAGAGCGGCGAGACGGCGAATCGGGGATCAATGACCGGAAGGAATGAATGGTTTTGGGCGAGAGCGCGGTGCGCGTGCCAATCACAGAGGCGTTTCGAGAGGGAGCGCGATGTCTGGATATATCGATACGGCGTCTTGGTCGGGAGCCGCTGTTGTTGTGGCCTGCGGGGCCATCAGCACTGTCTGAGCCCGAAGGCTGTCTTTGAACCAACAGGATGCGAGAGCGGAGGGGGGGCACTTGATTTGAACGGCACAAAGCGCACCATAGAGTGGCGATCAACCGCAACCAGCAACAACGACAGCAATGGTTATCTCACGACCATTTGGTGTAAGAGGCCGATTTGATGTCATGCGCTAATTCAATATATCTGTGTATATATATATATATATATATATATATATATGAAAGAGCGTGTTCTACCGCTGCTGGCGGAAAACCGGGGGGGGTCACTACCGGTTCGAACCCCTCCCCCCCCCCCCCCCCCTCGGAAAACCGGGGGGGGTCACTACGGTTCGAACCCCTCCCCCCCCCCCTGTCATCATGAAAAAGGGGGGGGGTCACTACGGTTCGAACCCCTCCCCCCCCCCCCCTCCCCCTTCCGGATCCGGAAAACCGGGGGGGGTCACTAATTACCGGTTCGAACCCCCCCCTCCCTCGAAAACCGAGTGGGGGTGCGGACAGTGGTGGGGACGGTGTTGGTGGGGACAGTGGTGAGGGGATAGCGGGACAGTGGTGAGGACAGTGGGACAGTGGGACAGTGGTGGGGACGGTAGTGGTGGGGACAGCGGTGGGGACAATGGTGGGAACAGGGGGGGGACAGTGGACAGTGGTGGTGACGGTGGTGGTGGGGACAGTGGTGTGGGGACAATGGGAATGAGGTGGAAACAGTGGGACAGTGGAGGGTACAATGGTGGTGGGGACAGTGGTGAAGGCGGTGGCGAGGACGGCGGTGGGACAATGGGACAGAGGTACAGTGGGGACAGTGGTGGGGACAGTGGGGACAGTGGTGGGAACAGTGGGACAGCTCAGTGGGACAGCGGAGGAGTCAGTGGGACAGTGGGGACAGTGGGGATAGTCGGGCAGTGGTTGGGGCCGTGGAGACAGTGGGGAGAGTGGAACCGTGGTGGGAACAGTTCTGGGGACAGCGGGGACAGTGCGACAGTGGTGGGGCCACTGGTGGGGACAGTAGGGGCGGTGGTGGAACCAGTGGGGACAGCGGTGGTGAGGACAGTGGTGCTGGGAACACCAGTGGGGGATGTGATGCGGACGGTGGTGGGGACCGGGAGTCGTTTGCTGGCGGTGAGTAAGGGGGGGGGGGGGGGGTTCGAACCGGTAGTGACCCCCCCCGGTTTTCCGGATCCGGAGGGGGGGGGGGGGGGGGAGGGGTTCGAACCGGTAGTGACCCCCCCCGGTTTTCGAGCGGGAGGGGGGGGGGGGGAGGGGTTAGGGGAAGGGGGGGTTTTGCGGGGAGGAGGGGGGGGGGGGGGTTAGGGGGTTCCAGCAGGGGGGGGGATTTTCGGAGGGGGGGTGGGGGGCGACCCCCGGGTTCCGGAGGAAAAGGTTGGCAATTTTCCACAGTAAAGCGGCGGTGGATCACGCTCTCTCATATATATACATGTTATGTAAATCTGTATATATATATATATATATACACATATTTACATGTGTATGTATGTATCCATCGCCCCCTCCCTCGCACCCCGCCCTCTGTGTCTCTGGCCGCACACTCTTTTGAGGGGACGGCCCTGCCAGATTTGGAACAACAGGCGCGTCGTGCGGGCGCAGCTTCGCGTGCGGGCCCTTGGCGGGCGGTCCCCAGAGGGCGGAGCGCGACGCCTGGGCAGAATGCGAGGGTGCCTCAGGGCGGGGGAGCGGGATCCGGAACAAACCGCGAGGAAGTCTCAGGCGGGAGCCGTCGTTGTTTTTGTTTTTGCTGTTGTTGATGTTGTTGTTGTTGTTGTGGTTGTTGAGGTTGTTGTTGTTGTTGGTGGTGGTGGTGTTGTGGTTGTTGTTGTTGTTGTTGTTGTTGTTGTTGTGGTTGTTGTGGTTGTTGTTGATGCTGTTTTTATTGGTGGTGGTGGTGGTGGTGGTGTTGTTGCTGCTGTTGTTGGTGGTGGTGGCGTTGTTGCAGTTGTTGTTGTAGTCCGGGGCCAGGGCCTGAGACCTGGAAGGGCGCCCGCCGAAGAGCGTGCCGCGCACGCTGGAGCCGGAGCGCTCTGTCGACCTTCCGTGGATCGGGAGCAGGGCGGATGGGCATCCGGCGGCGGCGACCACGAGGAGACTGCGCCAGCCGCGGCGGCGACGATGCTCCCCGCGGCCGCCCTGGTCGCAGACCCGCCGCGGGCGCGCGACGGAGTGCCCCCCCCGCCCGCGCGCGCGCGCGCCCGCGCGTGGTGGCCTCGCGCGGCGAGGCGGGCGAGGCCGCCCCCTCGCGCGCCGATGACGACGGCGATGGCAGCGGCGTCGACCTCGCCTCCTCCCCGTCTCTTCCTGCTCCTCCTCCTCCTCCTCCCTCCTCCTCCTCCCTCCTCCTCTCTCCTCCTCCTCCTCCTCCTCTCCTCTTCCTCTCTCCCTCCCCCCTCCTCCTCCTTCCTCCTCCTTCTCCTCCTCCTCCTCCTCTCCTTTCTCCTCCTCCTCTCCCTTCTCCGTCCTCCTCTTCCTCTTCCTCCCCCTCCTCCTCCTCCCCCTCCTCCCCCGCCGCCTCCTCCTCCAGCACTTCTCCGACTCTGCACGTCCCCTTCAAGCTCTCGATTGCCGCGCAGGGCGCTGCACCCTGGACCTGCGACCTGGGGCGCCACCTGCAGGGTTCGCCTGGCGCCTCCGCCTGGCGCCTCCCCCCGGCCCATGTCGGCACCTCCCTCGCACTCAGTGGGCCCCGGAAGCGGCAGGGACGTTTTTTTCACCGTTTCCGCAATAGTGTCTCCTGAAAATGGAAGCGGCAAAAAAGCGGCGAACGGAAACGGCAGCAAAAGCGGCTCCAGGATTGGAACCGGAGCGGGAGCCCGTAAAAGAACGGCGACGGAACCGGTAAAAAAACGGCGTCGGAACCTTCGAAAAAAAGCAAAACGGAACCTGTCAAAAAACGGCCTTGCCGTTTCCATGGCCCTCTAAGCCCTCGCACGCGTCGTGCGCCACAGGGAGTGGCATTTACACCTTAAGATACGGGGTTTACCGTTTCTCTTGACCGACCGTGACATATCATAAGCAGTCGATCGGCAGCACAATGCCATTCCATCGCCATCCCTCCGTCTCGTCACAGGTCGAGAGACAGTCGTCAGGAAGCAGAGCTAAGGATGTAGGAGCGTGCAGTCTTCCCTCATTTGGATTCCCCCTCGCCCCTAGCAGCGCGCAGAGATAGCAAGAGAGAGAGAGAGAGAGATCAGGGGACTGCATTGACGCACGTGCTCCTTCCTCTGCTCACGACCTCCTCCGTGGCCGTTTTGGGCCCCAGCAGTTGTTGCTCTTCTGCTTTCCCCATTTTGAACCCTCACCCTCCGTGGGACCGGTCTTCACCGGGTGAGAAGGGCCACATGTTGTCCGTTTTGGGGATGCTATTTGCGTTGGCCGCTCGGTGGGCACATCCACCCCAAGGGGGGGGATCTTGTGTGCCGCGGTCATGGCGCGGACAGAGCACCTGTGTGTTGGGTCGGCGCATCCTTCCTTCCCAGGTGGAGTTCCGCACGGGCAACACACACGTCGGCGCATCCCTCGTACGCACCGTGCCCCACAGGGAGCTCCACGTGCGCTCCCAGATCTGTCTGGGGGGTCGCATGCCGCCCACGCGCCCATGTCGTCCATCCCTTGCACGTGCCGTACAGTCGGGCCGCTGCAGAAGGAACCCTTATCGTTCGGGAGGGGCTCAGTGTTCCTTAGTCGTTCCACAGTGCTCCTTAGGTTCCCCTGAGGTATCCCATGGAAAGTCGGAGTTGAAAACGTATGGGAAAAAGGGACCTCGTTCCTCATTCGTCGTTCCTGAGGTCAGCGCCCCGACTGCACCTCACAGACGGGTCCACCCAGAATTGCGACCCCCCCAGGGCAAGGGCTCGCAGGACATGGCGTCACGCCCCTCGCACGGATCGTGCCCCACGAGGTATCCAGGAGGAGGGGGAGGAGGAGGAGGAGGAGGAGGAGGAGGAGGAGGAGGAGGAGGAGGAACGGAGGAGGAGGAGGAGGAGGAAAACGGAGGGGGAGGAGGAGGAGGGGAGGAGGAGGAGGAGGAGGAGGAGGAGGGAGGAGGAGGAGGAGGAACACGGGGTATCCCACCCATGGCCCCGGAGGCGGGGCTCGCACGCCCCTCCCGCGCCCATGGCGGCGCACGCCTCGCAGCTCCACTGAGAGGCGCGCGCGTGTCCAAGTCCAGTTCGCGCTGCGTGCCCCACAGGGAGCTTCTCACGCGGTCCCCAGCGCAGGGTTTGCAGCATGCCCGCCCCCCCCCCCCCCGCCAATGTCGGCACGCCCCCATCCGCTGCGTCGTGCCCCCCCCGTGGCCCCAGTAGAGCTCCACGAGCGGCCCGAGGAGCAGGGCTTGCAGGGGCCCCCCAGCCCATTCCGCCTTGGTTGCATCCCCTGCGGAACGATGGGCAACGCGCACCCTGGAGGAGGTCAGAGGGTCGTCGCCACCGCCACCCCCGCCGCCCTCGTCGTCGTCGTCGTCATTTCTATTCTCCCACGTCGTCGCCGTCGATCGTCGTCGCCGCCGGGGCGTGGCGCCTGAGATGCTCAGACCTCCCACGTCGAGGCACGTGGCGACGGGTCCGCCGCCCGATGCGCTTCGGCACACCCCTCGCACGCGTCCTGCTGCCGCCGGGGAGCTCCCCGCCCACGGCTCGAGGTGCAGGGCTCGCCTGCCCCCCGCCAATGTTTGGCGCACCCCTCACGCGTGCCGCGCCCTCGCACAGCGCCCTCTCCCCTTCATTCGGGCGAAGAGAACTGTGCGCATGCACCGATCCTGGCAAGGCCCATCCTTGACCCAGGATCGGTGCACATGCCTTCCTGGCCAAGGCAGGAGGGCGCATGCACCGATCCTCGGCTCCGGGTGGGCCTGGCCAGAATCGGTATATGTGCGTAGTTATCATTCCTCTATTCATTCCTCTCCCCTCGTCCTCTTCCTGCTCCCTCTTCCTCGTGTACTTTCCCGCGCCAGTTGCCCTGACGCTCTTCAGTAGCACGTGGGGGCGCAGCTCTGCTGTGGTGATCCGCTTCGCTTTTGAATCATGGTGTCGTCGTCGCTTGCGGTTGATGAATCACACGTGCCGTGCCCCAAAGGTGCTCCTCCTACGACCCGTGGCCCCACATATACGTAAGTTGGACTCGTCCCTCTACAGGAGGAATGTTCAAAAATAGTCAGAACTAGTCTGGGGACAATTTTGGTGAGTATTTTTTAAATGACCAACAATGGCAAATTTGCAAACATTTCGACTACTTTGGAAACAACTATTTTTGAATATTTTGGAAATAATCAAAATAGTAAAAACAAATCACATGTTTTGACCATGTTGGAGTATGTGTTGGGTATTGTTTATGTTTCGTCGAAAATCCTTCTGTAGGGGGACACGCCCGACTTAAAGATGTACGGGGGCTCGCCTCGCGCTCCCCCGCCCACAGTCCGGCACACCTCTGCAGCGCCGTCGCGCCCCACGGACAGCTTCCCAGACGTGCGACGTCCAATTTTTGTTTGGGACGGCGTCCCTGGAATCCCGCTAGGGGGCCACATGCGAACCCTACCCCTACCCCCACGATTTCTGAGGGGGAGGGGGGGGGTCACTTCGTTCGGGAGCTCTCGAGCGAAGTGACCCCCCCCCTCCCCCTCAGAAATCGTGGGGGGTAGGGGTAGGGTTCGCATGTGGCCCCCTAGACGTCAAATTTTTTTCGGGACGGCGTCCCTGGAAGCCCGCTTCGCTCCCCAGGACCGGCGTTTCGTCCCGAGTCGTGCTCTTTCACGGCCCCGAGGCCCGGAGAGGGCCCCGCGAGGCCGAAAGTGGCCAAACGCCTCCCCTCCGGAGTTTTCCTAAGACGCGATCGTGTCTGGGTTCCACTATTCATGGCGGCAACATCGCAGAGCGGATCTTGTTCGGAAAAGACTGGGATGGGCCCGGTATTTGAGAATCTCGGGGTCGGATCAGCGCTGCGAACATGGCCGGGTGATTGGCTGGCCGAGTGATTGGATCAGCGTTGCTAACACCCGGGGGGTGAGTGGTTGGGGGGCTGCGACGGAACATCGGAGAGGAAGGAAGATCTGGAACGAAAGAAAAGGGGAGGAGGAGGAGGAGGAGGAGGAGGAGGAGGAGGAGGAGGACGAGTCCTGGTGGAAGGTCCTCGTCCTGGAGGAGGGGCCCTGGAGGAGGAGGAGGAGGAGGAGGAGGAGGAGGAGGAGGAGGAGAGAGGAGGAGGAGGAGGAGGAGGAGGGGAGGGGGAGGGGAGGGGGAGGGGGGGAGGAGGGGGAGGAGGAGGAGGAGGAGGAGGAGGAGGAGGAGGAGGAGGAGGAGGAGGAGGAGGAGGAGGAGGAGGAGGAGGAGCAGCAGGGGGTGGGGGAGGGGGAGGAGGTGAGGAGGAGAGGAGGAGGAGGGAGGAGGAGGAGGAGGAGGAGGAGGAGGAGGGAGGAGGAGGAGGAGGAGGAGAGGAGGAGGAGGAGGAGGAGGAGGGAGGAGGAGGAGGAGGAGGAGGAGGAAGGAGGAGGTGAGGGAGGAGGAGGAGGAGGAGGAGGAGGAGGAGGAGGAGGAGAGGAGAGGAGGAGGAGGAGGAGGCGGAGGAGGAGAGGAGGAGGAGGAGGAGGAGGAGGAGGAGGAGGAGGAGGAGGAGGGGAGGAGGAGGAGGAGGAGGAGGAGGAGGAGGAGGAGGAGGAGGAGGAGAGAGGGGAGGAGGAGGAGGAGGAGGAGGAGGAGGAGGAGGAGGAGGATCAGGAGGAGGAGGAGGAGGAGGAGGAGTCCTGGTGGAATGGTCCTCGATCCTGGGGCACTCTTTGAGATCCCCTTCTCATGCTGAGGGCCTCGGCAGCCCAGCCCGAAACCGCCAGACGACCCCAAGACCGCCCCCCCAGACCTCTCGGGGGGCACGCCTTCCCTCCCTCCTCCTCCTCTCCTCCTCCCCTCCCCCTCCTCCTCCTCGTCCTCCTTCTACCCCTCTCTGCGCTCGCCTCATTCACCTCCTCCTCCTCCCTCCTGCTCCTCCTCCTCCTCCCTCCTCCTCCTCCTCCTCAACCTCCTCCCTTTCTCCCCTCTCTCCTCGCCTGGTCCGTCCATGTCCCCGCGATTGACCAAGGGCTGCCTCCCAGGCCAGACTGCTGGCCGCTCCCAGGCCACGTTCGAGAGGGAGCGTGGTGCTGCATCCGAGGGTAGGGCCCCGAGATCCGACGCTCCAGCAAAGATTGGAGCGGGCGGCTGCTGGCTGTCTTTTGCCTCCCGGAGCCCTCTCCGGGTCTCGG